TCTCCCTGCTGTGGCAGGTTTAGCCTAACTGTAGGGAGCATGTGACACTCCCCTTTCTGGTCCCTTATTGTCTACTCTTTGGAGGAGTATCACTCACAGCGGGGGTCACCTAGACAGTGTGGCTCAGTCTCTGCTTTATTCCTGAGGGAGCCTGGCTTCAGGAAGCTGGCATGTCCCCCTTAAATATAATGGATAGGCCTTGTTTCCACAGCATCCTCCTGGCCCCCCCATCACTTGTGATTCAAAACCCAAGCAGCTTTAATTCTTAGATTGAGTACAATGTGATGCAGTTACCTAATATGAAAATCACATTCTTCTGGCGGGGGTGAATGTTTCCAAATACATTGCACACATGTATAAAGTTTCTGAAGAACTAATAAATTATATTAAGATAATATCCCTCAGTATTACAATATGGCGTCTACTCTCCTATTTGCTTTTCTCTGTGTTCTTGATCAACAATTGTCTCACAACATTTGTGGGAAAGATGGATGTCATTTTATTAAACCTTTAGCAATCACAAAGTTCTGTTACATACCTTAGGGGACATTCCAAAGGCCTGACTAGAAAATACCTCAGGATCATTTATTGGTGTCAGGGTGAGTGTGTGTGTGTGTGTGTGTGTGTGTGTGTGTGTGTGTGTGTGTGTGTGTGAATAAAGTCATTTATCCACCAGCTTCCACGCCTCACTGATTGAAGGCTGCTTGGGGATTATGGACACTGACGCTGGGTCTGGGAAAATGGATCAGGGGTGAGACTGCTTGCTTTGCACCTAGAGAACTGGGTTTGAATCCCCAGCACCCCATAAATAGCCAGGCATGGCAGTTCATGCTTGTAACCATGGCATTAGGGGCGGGGATGGGTGGATGCTGAGAGCTCCCTGTCCTGCCAGCCCTGCTGAAATGCATAAGTAAAAGTCCCCAGCTAGAGAAATGTGGGTCTTCCGTGTGGGAACCACGTGTATGGCTGAAAGTATTTATCCAGGCTTCCAGCTGCTGAGGGTGACTTACCAATGGTGATTGTCCTCACAGCTCCATGGTTGTCCTCAGCTGGCTCCGAGCGACGTTAGGAACCTCCACTCTGCAGCCCCACGGCTGTTTTTCCGCTATAAAATGGACCTCCTTGTTTGGGTTGTCTCTCCCTTTTCCTGAGCTATAATCCACGTTGGCAAGGCAAGGTCAGCTGGTCCACTGTGATGTAAGGAAACCAGCTGATATAAGTAAAAGTAAAATATTTGTCGAATGAATGTTCTTACCAGGGATAAGTAAATATTCATACTAGAAAAAACCCTTAGTTTCAGGATTATTATGGAAGCTAGTTTGAATGTTTGGTAAGGAAAACACACTTACAGAACATGGAATGATATTTCCGAGTCCATTTAACTCAGGTGTGACATGCTTCAGCGAGCCCCATGTGGAGCTGGTGCCAGGCTTGAAGGAATCTGTTGCTTTTTACAACTTTGTGGTCCAAAAAAAAAAAAAAATAGATGACACACTTTTTTAAAGCAAATATTGTGAATGGGAAGTAGTTGTCCTTAAGATAATGAAGAAAGTCTTTGTAAGGACTGGGGATATGGCTAGTGGCAGATCATACGCCTTGACTGAGCAAGGTCTTGGGATCAATTTCCTGCGACACAAAGGGCATTTATATCTGGTCTCTCCAATCCATTCTGTTTGCGTACCTACTTGTGAAACTTTCTCACAGCAGGGGAGAATTAAGCAGCTCATGAATTTCCAGGCAGAGGACATGATCGTGTGTAATGTGACAATCTTGCCAGTAGGTGGCATCAGAAGCCTTTTGAGTTTCAAAAGCATTCACAACATTATTCTCAAAATATTAGACTAATTTCGGAGCCTTCAATAGGATTTTTTTTTTAAGCAACTGATAAGCGGAAACGAAGGAAAAAAGATCCATATAAGCAAAAATCAGTTAGCAATACCATTGCCATTTCAGCTGACAGCGTAGTGGGAAAGAAACACAGGATGGTGGGGGATTCCAAGGTGCTTGTCTGCCTGGTGTGGACTGCCTGGATGGCTCCCTTTCGAAAGGTATTCTGAAAGGACCCAGCTGGTGCGGAGTTCTGATATAACGGATAGTGGGTGTGTTTTGCTGAAAGTCAAGCTTCTTGAATGTATAGCTTTAAGGTAAACTGCGATGTTTGCAAATCGCCCGATTGCTATATCGAAAAGTGGAAAACAAAGTGATCCCTAGTAATCTATGTGTAACTCGACACATGGCGGATCTCTTTTCCTTTCCTTTCTTTCATTCTTTTTCTTTGTCTTTTTTTTTGGGGGGCGGGGAGGGGTCGTTTAGCCTAGGTTGGCCTTGACTTTGAACTCACCACATGGTGAAGGATGACTTTGAGTTTATGATCCTTCAGCCTCCTTTACCCAAGTTCAGGGATTATGGGTGCCTAACGTGGTGGTGAGGGTTGAACACGGGACTCTGTGTGTTCTAGGCAAGTACCCTGCCAACCGAGCTACATCCCAGTCTGGCCGAGTCTCTTAACATTTCAGCTGAATCTAACGAACAGTTACTGTGAGTCTACGTGCAGCAGGCAGGCAATCAGCCTTTTATTTTTTCCCCTTTAAGGAGACTCTGCTTTTTCTCTATCACAGCCAGGGAGCTTAGTCCAAGGGGTGTAGTACAAGGAGAGGAGTCAATATGCTCTCCAGCTGTGGCCGCCTCTGCAGCCCTCCCCAGTTTGGAGACTCTGTTCAGCCTGGAGGTGACCAGAAAAAGAGCGACCAGCACAGTTGTGCACTGTTCACCCTTCTACATACAACCATCGTCATTGCAGATGTGTATCGAAATCTAATCTGGGGAGCCTTTGGGAAGGTGACTTAGCCGGTACAGTACTTGCTGCAGAAGCACGGGGATCTGAATTAGGATTGCCAGCATCCACACAGAAAGCTGGGTGTGGTAGCGTGCATCTGTGACCCTAGTGTGGGTTGGGGGTGGGATGGAGGATGCTACAGCAAGAGGAAGTGGGTCCTTGGAGCTTCTTGGTCAGCGTCACGGAATTTGTGAACTCTAGGTTCGGTGAGAGGCGCTGTCCTAGAAAATAGACTGGAGAGTGACTGAGGAATACATTCCATGTGGACCTCTGGTCTATACACACACACACACACACACACACACACACACACACACACACACACACACACACGTACGTGCACCTGCATGAACAACGCATATGTACACAAACATGTATGCCTACATAGAACACACATATACACATCTAGGCTTAGCTTAAAACACCTCATCATTTATCATACCCGAATTTGATAATCGTACCCTGAAGCAGGTTCAAGTGAAAAGTTTGAAATGTCACCTCTGGTGCCTGTTTACCCAGAAAGGCTTGAGGTGGTGGATGTTTGCCCAGACAGCGGCAAAGAAGGATGCCCAGTTACCTTCTGCAGAGGCAGACAAGAAGAGATGAGCAGCGGTAACCTGGGGCCACCGAACAGTGTGTCTTTGGACATCCAGCATCCTGGTATACACGGAGGGAAGAAGCGTCAATCAGCAGCCTGTGATTTGGAGAGAATGACTTCCCTGTGCTACATCTTGGTGTCCTCACTGAGAAGCAGGAGCCAGAGTTTCTAGCTCTTAAAGTTGTTTCAAAGCTGGTGACAGAACATACGGCAAAGTGCCTGTAATCACTTCCTGCATGCCAGACGTCCTACAAAATGTGAGGGCCGGCCTTTATGTTTGGAGGGAGGGTTGCCAGACAGTTCACGGCCACCAGACCATGCTAGGAATGTTTGGTATTGAAAATACACCATCGATACCAGCCTGGTGTCATTTGGTAGCAAAGCCAACAGGCTATCTTATGGTGCAGTGATGAGCAGCTGAAGCATTGGCTGTAGTCGTGGAAGCATCCACAGGCCGATCCGTACAGGAACAACTGCGTGTGTTTCTCATGCATTTTCTTCTGCGGGGTGAGCTGTCTCTGCATGCCGCCGTGACTCTAAAAGGAATGGATTAAATGACACATTCTGCTGCTTCCCACAGCCTTCTCCTGCCTGCCAGGCGATTCTCGGCCTGCTGGCTTGAGGCACTGTGTCTCTTCACATGCCATGGGCAATATGGGAGCATGACTGCTTTTGTTGCTGATGAAAATATTATGGCCTCAGTTCCCTGTAATCAATTTACTGCTTTATGGACCCAAAGTCCTCCAGAGAATTTAATAAATTCACATAATGTTTCTAAGTGCTGCATTGTGCATTTGGAGCGCTGATTTAGCTGACAAATGTGAAAAATTCGTGTAGCTAGACAACTCCCTGGCGATCAGACATGTGTGGAGGCTAGAGAGAGCATGTTGCTCGAGAGAAGGTCAGCATTAACATACGCCGAGAGTCTCTGCTCTTGATTGGCTTTGTGTCTTTGCAGCTCTGATGGATGGGACCATCTGACTAGACATTTGGGGGGCTCTACCCATCTCCAGTGGGGATGCACTCTTGGTTCTGTAACAGTTTGCGACTTACAGTCTGGGCAGAGACAAGAACAGAGATGATGGAGACAGAAGAATCAATGACTGGGACTGACCGCCAGACTGAGATAAAGAAACGGTCACTGAATTATGCATGGTCAGTTCTGAGGGTGCCAGGGGCCTCCAAGGGAGCATTTTATGGTATAATATCACAGAGTCATTTGTTTAAAATGGGTTCACTTTAGCTTAAATTGAATTTTCATGCATCTCTCTTCCACCCCAATTTCTTTCCAAAAGTAACCAGGTTTACCAAAAATAATATATGTTAAGACATCTTTATTATTCAAAATAATGTTTTGTCTCTGTTAATATACACATAAGCATTATGCAGAGTTATAATCAGTCAAAACCATTTAGTATTTTATTTTTCCTCTTTAGTGTTATTTCACAGAAGTGATGATGGTATTGATATCTATTGAGATGGGGCTCAAGTCATCCACTTGTATTGAGTTTCACAAAGTTACCTTTAGAATGACAGGGGCATCATTGTGCCAGATACTACTGTTTTCAGAGCTACTGAGGTTTTACCTTTGAATTTGTTTTGATTTTTAGCTCAAGTGAGGATTTTACTCAAAATGGGACAAATCATTCACAGGTAAACCAGGCCTGGGGATTTTATAACAGCTGGTAAGGAAAGCAACTTCACACCTCCCCACCTCTAGTGACTGGTGGACCAGGTTTGGCCTCTGTGCTGGCAAGCTCTAAGTGTCCAATGAGTGATGGGCTGTGGACTCTCTCCTGCTGGGCCCCTGGGGTTAGAGCTCCCTAGGCTGTGGATCTGGCTGGTTACGGAGGCCCAGCTGACTTGCTGATCAGAGGAAGAACAGCTGTGTGCATCTGGATGCTGTGAGCAGTGGTGGTTGACCTTTTAGTGTTCTAGCACCACAGGGTGGTGAGAGAGCTGTGGGGACCCAGGACAGTCAAGCACTGGCCACCGGAGACAGGACTGGAATGAAACCCCTCATTAGTGACTTGGGGTTCCAGGTATGATATTTACTTGAGACGTGAGTATCATTAACATGGGGTGCCAGGTCATGGTTTGTAGCTATGTGGCAGGGGAGAGACTGGTAGGTTGTGAAACACATTTTATTTTATTTTATTTTTTTCACATTTCTGAATAAGCTTCTACCTACCTGTTCTAACCCATCCAAAGCCGAGCTGGATGTAGAGAGAAGGCAAGTGACTTTCCTGTAACCCAAAAACAAGGCAGCCTCTGTGGTATGACAATTCTGGGTCCCTGTGGTAGGACAAATTCTGGGTCCCTGTGGTAGGACGAATTCTGGGTTCTGTGTCGTCCACCGGTACTGTCCCTAATTGGCAGGTGGTTCTTTATTTTTTAGAGTATAGGGACTCTCTTTCTCAACTACAAAGTTTAAGAACACTTATACAGCAGTAATTTTGGTAACTAAAAGAAATGTACTCATGACCAAATCCAGAGTCCTCACATGGCCATGATACTCCCCATATAGAGTCACTAAAAGAATGTACAGTAGTAACACAGCTCCTTTTCAAAGAGGCCTTAGTTCTTGGGGTGCACAGGTTTAAAATCATTGCACCCAAGATTTTATATATATATATTTTTAAAATAAACTATGTCCTAGAAGGTAGAACAATGCAATGATATTGTCTACTACACGTGTAACAGCGAAACTCTGTCACCCAAGAATTACTGGGGGATGATGAGAAATGAAAGCATCG